TAGATTCAAGATTCAAGCTCATGGCCACTCCATGTGTATCATAATAGATGTGTGCCTTATAGGGTTTTTGGTGGATTATTTTTCAGAAGTAGATCACCAGGCCTTTCTTCCAAGATGCCTCTGAGTGAACTTGAACCACCAACCTATAGTTTAGCAGCCAAGTGTGCTAACACTTTGCATACCCAGGAACTCCAACATAGTATTAAAACCAAACAAAACCAAACTCATTGCCATCAAGTCAATTCCGACTCACAACGACCCCCTTTGGGTTTCTGAGGTGGTAAATCTTTACCGAAGTAGATTGTCCAGTCTTCTTTCCCCAGAGTGGCTGGTGGGTTTGAACCGCCAACTTTGTGGGTAGCAGTCAAATGCCTTAAGCACTATGCCACCAGAGCTCCTTAATGTGGTATTAGGCTGTTGCTATTAGTATATCTATATTTCTATTACACTTTTAAATGGATAGTATCTTGCTTCCAAAATGTGGTTCAATTATCACCAATGATAATTGAAAATTTCATTCCTATCATGTGTTTGACTATGAACATAGATATTTCAATGTGGATTTGTCTTGAAGCTGGCTGCAATGTCATGAGAGCAAGACTGGGCAGGCTGTAGAAAGAAACCATCAATATGTCAGCTGTAGGTGATCTAAGAATGCTATTTTAGGGGCTTAAAATAATTTTTATATTAAAAAAAAAAACATTGTTGCCAAGTCTATTCAATTCATAGCAACCCTATAAGGCAGAGTAGACATGCCCCATAGGATTTCCAAGGCTGTAAATGTTTATAGAAACAGACCATAAATACTTATAAAAGCATTTTTCACCCATGGAACTGTGGATGGGTTCAAACTCCCAACTTTTTGGTTAGCAGCTGAGTGCTTAACCATTGTGCTATCCTGGCTTCTGTTGTATTAAATTGTCCAAAATACCAAAATTTTACTCATATGAAAAATTGAAAAATTTTATTAACATACTAGATATTCAAAAAAGATATCATTACACATAAAAATAAGTTAAAAAAAAAAAAAACCTCATTGCCATCGAGTCGATTCTGACTCATAGAGACCCCCTTCAGGTTACCAAGAAGGAAAATCTTTACAGAAGTAGATTGCTTCATCTTCCTTCTGCAGAGTGGCTGTTGGGCTTGAACCAGCAGTCTTTTGGTTAGTCAAATGCCTTAGGCACTCTGCCACACTCAACACACATTTATTGACCACCTGCTACTATATCTGAAGCATCCTTCTCTGGTGGAGACACTAAGCCACTGATACAACTCTTGCCCTCAAGGGTCAGTTTAGTGTGTCATCTTGTGTTGTCCTTGTGGTTTGTTCAAACACCTGAAGACAGTGTTTCTAAAGACTGCTTTTCTACTTCCATGTCTGTTGCTAAAACAGCTGTTATGTTGCTAGAGTAGCAAAGATAATGTCCACTCTCTCCTACCCAGATGTCATTAATGCCACTGTGGGGTACCCAGGAAGTGTTCACTGATATATGGCTCTATCCTAACCACAAATTATTGAAGATGTGTAATATCCTTGGGTTTTCTAAATTAAAGATTTGTGTGTGTATCAGTGTGCGTATGACTGTGTGTGGATGCATGCACATTACCCAGGCAATGCTTATGGCAAGGGTTGTATTTTAAGTAAGCTAAGACACAATTATGCTAAAAAAAAAATGCTACCTGGCCAGTTTCTCATATGGAATTCTTATATCCTTAAAAAACAGAACAAAATTGTGTTTATATTTACATATAACATGAGACAGGGTTTTAATCTCATAGGATGTTCAGTTTAAAGATCCTAAATAATGAAATATAGAGAAACAACTAACAGGCTAAATCTTTCATTCAGAAAAAATAAGTGCAACTCAACTAAAGTATTGCTTTTGTTTGTTGTCAAATCCAAATTTTGCCAATTATTAGATATGTGACCTTTAATAAGGATGATAATTGTAAAAAATGGAAATATTTGCCCCACAGTATATTTATAAGGACTACATGAGCCACTATGTGAAAAATGCTTAGCATACTATTTAGCAAATAGTAGAAAGTCAGGTACAAGGAATGCTGTTGTTATTATTAATTGCTCCTACTTGTGATGTTTACGTTTTAAAATTGGGCCCATGGACAGTTTAACATAACTCAATAGATTGAACCCTTAATGCTATAATTTTAAATACTGTGGTATGGAATTAAAGGAAATACAAAATTTGCCATTATATAGACATATGTGTTTTTGGAGTTCCTGGGTGGCACAAAGAGTTAAGCATTCAGCTACTAACTGAAAGATTAGTGGTTCAAAGCTACCAGAGGAACCACAAGAGAAAGTGCTGGCAATTTGTTTTTGAAAGGTCACAACCATGAAATCCTGTGGAGCACAGATCCTCTCTGACACGCGTGAGGTGGCCATGGGTCAAAATGGACTCCATGGTTACTGATTTGATTTTGAATATATTTTAGGTAGAAACAAATGGAAATCAGAGTGACTACAGTGGTAAGATGCACAACTGTAACCTAGCGAGTGTGCATAATTTATATTGTTGATGATCACATTAATGTGAAAATTAATCCAGCAAGTCCTCTGCCTTTGCTCATCTTGATCCCTTACCTAGAATGTCTCCTTTTTTTAAGTCAAAATTGCATGCTTTCCTAATTCTCTCTCTTCCATAACTTTTCTTCTCCTCCTCTCATTCCCGGGCACTCAGCATGTCTACCTCTTATGTTGATTTGGCCATCACATTCTGTTTCATGTTTGTCTCATGCCGTTTCATGCTTGCATATATAATTGTCTCAATTATATTGCAAATTCTTTTCTATTTTCTTTTTTTCTTCCACACACAACACAGCACTAGGTTCCAAGTAGTTAATATTTGTTAACAGTAACCTATGTAAACAAATTAGTAGCTGTAAAAAAATAATCATTTTAAAAAAAAATCCTCAGAGGTATAAGCAAGTGAGCTTCTGAAAATAAGATCAAGTAAATTAGATAGAATTTTGAAGGTGGCACTCTTGGTTTCCTGGAAAAAAAAATCTCAATTTGCTAATGAGCCACCATCTAGCTATGACATAAATTAAAGCAGGCATAAAAGATGGGAGCATTACAGCAATGCAGGTTTTTATAAGGACAAATACAGAGAGGTGTTCCAGTCCCACGAGACTTGGGGAACTTCTGTGAGTACGTGCATTAGGCTGTGGAGTAGAGGCTCCCTGGAAGGACCTCCAGGAACAGACTGAGAACTCTGTAATAAGTATTCCTGGGAGTTAGTCTTTCCTGGAAAAAAAAAATTAGCACGAAGAGCCAGTACTGTGCAATTTCAGTTTTAAAATAGCCAACTATTGTTAAGCCTGCTGTGTATATGAGAGAAAAAGAAAGCCCTTGTTAATATGTGCCTCAGCTTTTCACATTAAAACAGAGGAGCTACATTGAAATTCTTGCCTGGCAAGTACAACAAAGGTCATAAGGTTTGTATCATTTGAGATGGTTTTTTGGTCTATCCCTAATCTTTCAGTGACAAACTTTTTGGGGATGTGTCCCATTTTTTCAAGTTGGTTTTGCAATAAAGGACAGTCAGTGATGACTTGGTCTCTCACTTAGGACCAGAGCTCCCTCCCTGTCTATTCTAGCTCTTCATTTGTTTAATTGACCTGGGAGGCTGCAGGGACATTCCCTGCATCCAGAGGCTCTGCTGACTGCAGAGACCCTACCTGGTATTCCAAATTGGTGCATCAGCGTTTAGGTAGAGATGAATGAAAAATCAATCAGGGCAATTGTCGTGGTAGCACACACAACTCTAACCTAGTTTATGCATAATTTTCTCCTACTTACCATAGAACCAACCAATGTTTAAGATGGTAAGTGAATCTGTAGCAAATGCACTGCTTCTGCTTAATAGGATTTTTTTCTCTCCACTTTTCTATTTAGAACAAGCAAATTTAACCTGCTTCGTGTACATGTAAAATGAATGATGATGTCAAGTTTCATGCAAATATTCTTTATTTGCCCTGGTTTGAGATTATTCTTAATTAGACCGGGTGATAAATATTAATCTATTGGCATATCAAACTGTTGTTTTCTTAATTCATATTCCAAATTCAGAGGGCTTAACTTTAAAAAAAAAAAAAAAAAAAAGTCTATTTAATCCCTTCTCCGCATCTCTTTGTAATATGCTCTAACTACCTCCAAACTACAGTGTTTTAAATTTCTTAATTTACAATTCTGCAAAGATAGAGTTAAACACTATTTGTCCTCTGGCTACTTCTACCACATAAGGGGAACTGGAATTATTCAAAGCTGCAGTCTTCAGCTCTCAAAGACAGCTACAGTAACTTTCTGAACAGATTGGGTTAAGCATTTTTACAGACCCATTATATGATGATAAGGCGGCAATAAGTTGTGCAGTGCAACACTCCAAAGGGTTCCAAACCTCACAAGCCTCTTTGTGTGTGATGCTCTCGCAGTGAAGAAGATTCTTTGGGCTGTAAAGATGAAGAGCCTACTTCTCCTGGTGCTGATTTCAGTGTGCTGGGCTGATCATCATTCGGACAACTACACTCTGAATTATGACAGAGTTATTCACATGCAAGGTAAGAAAACACAGACCCTTAGGAAAGTCAAATTAATTTCAAGTTACTCAGAGTTGAGTTGCTGGGTTTGTGTTTCTTAATTTTAGTTCTGCTGCATTGACTTTTTCTTTCCCTCTCTGCTAATTTGTGAACATGCTCCCCCCACCCCCGGGCTTTTGAATGCTATTGCACTATAGTAGAGTTCAGGATTGGGGACAATTAAAGTTGAATGGCTTAAGGATGTCCAACTGCAGTATGTTGATGTGATTATTCAGGGGTTTTTAGTACAGTTGCTAAAGTAGAAAGGAGTGCATAAAGTTTATTGAAATGCATTTTGGAAGAGAGGAAATAGGAAGTAACACTTAAGATGTAAGGTCATTCCATTAGAGTGATTGTTTAATTATTAAAGAGAAGCAATGTAAATAAAATGAAAGTCAGGGAAGCTATGGCTCAAGAAAAAGTAGCTTACCCCTTTACAGTCTCCTTCAGGAAAGCTTTAGTTCCCATAAAGCAGTACATTGCCCCTGCATATTTCTGTTCAGCTCAGCTGAATCCAAACCTGAACGCTGTAGCAGAATTTGAGGCTGCAGCACAATGCAGTTATTTCCTTAGTCCCAGCTTCAAATGGGGGACATTTTGCATTAAGAAAGCTAAGAGATTTATGCAATGAGAAGGGAGAGTTCCAAAGGAGCTGGAGCTTCCCTCCTTGTCCTTGTATGCTGAATAAGTAAAATAAGGATTACATAATTTAACCATTTAAACATGTGATGTGTGATGATATTCATTTTAGATGAGCTCCATTTTGGGGTCAAAGGCAGTATAAGTTTTCTAAGAGATGTAAAACACCAAGTTATATCCCCAAGGTCAAAGGTATAGTCTCAGAAAACTGCATTCAATGTTGGAAAGTCTGACTTGTGAAGGTCAAATGGCTGTGTAAATCTGGCTGGAAGTATTTTGCTGTATGTATTCTGACTATCAACGTAGAATTCTGGGTTTGACTATGGTTTAGCTATTTCAGACACATCTCTTTCAATTCTGATTGTTTCCAAAAGCTTTATTTTTTTCACTGTTGAACCGTGAAAAAGCATTATATAACCATAAATTTTACTCTGCAAGCTGCTGACTCAGCTGTTTCCTTTAATGACTATAGTGGAACCAAAGCTGTTTCCCAAACAAAGACTGTAAGATATTGAAATGTATAGATTTCTAATGAGGACTAGCATGCTTTAACTTCTGGTCACAGAATTCAATTCTGCCCAACTGGTAATACCTAGTCATTATTAACAATAGCTGTTTTAAGTCAGCTGTAAAATAAACTTTAGCTGTGGTTTCAAGTTATCAGTAGACAGATATAAGTTATATCATAAACTATGCACAAAATAGTTAGTCCAAATTGTAGATAGAGTATGACATTATGTTAAAACTATACTAACAATTTTAAGAAAGCTGTCAGTGAGTCTGTAAGTCAGACTCAAGTTTTTTCAGCAAGAAAAACTTCAGTTGTTCCAGTCTCCTCATTTCCATATTCTCTGGTCAAATTTAATGCAAAGAAATTTCTGACCGAAGGTATCAATATTATCCAGAATATTTGCATACACTGTATAAATTGTAGGAGCTCTGGTGCCACAATGCCTAAGGCATCTGACTGCTAACCAGAAGGCTGGTGGTTCAAACCCACCAGCCACTCCTCGGAAGAAAGGTTGGGCAACCTACTTCCATAGTGATACTGCCTCGGAAACCCAAGGAGGGGTCGCTATGAGTCGGATCTGACTGGACAGCAGTAAGAGAGAGTATACATTGTTAATGCTTTGATAGTTCACTTCATTTTAATTGTAAATTCATATTCTTAGAAAGTAGAGGCTCACCCTGAAAAGGTGCTCAGAGCTTTCAAGAAACAGAACTACCAGAGCTATATTTGGTTCATGGAAGTTAATATTGAATATAATTTAGGTCATAGCATTATGGTATTATGTCTGTAAGGGAAATTTATTGTAAAATTGTCCCAAATATGTGGCCTCGTTAAGTTTTTTTGTTTAAATGAAGAAAATAATTCTTTTCCTTTATGATTTTATTCAGATTGAATTTTCATATTCCTTGATGTTTTAGAGAACTCCAAGTGACCTGCTATAATTTCAGTTGTCATCTACAAAAAAAAAAAAAAAATGCATAGCAAATTAGATAATCAATAAAGCAGATAACCTTCATTCCTTACTTGAAATGCTAGATTATTTTCTAACATTTGAGAAAGTTATTTATCAAACATGGCCCAAAAGGAATTTAAAAGAACCAAAACTGTTGCATGATTTTATAAGAATTTTGCAGTCAGATGGCTAAGTAGCAATCTAAATTACAAATTTCTGCATCGTCGTGATTACCAGCATGAGCTTCTCTCAGTGACAGAGGATGTCTTAAAACACATGCTACTATAAAAACACCTTTTCTCCCTCTGGTTTTGCACTAAATGTGTATTTTTGTACTCTAAGTTCCCCAGCCCTAACTAATACCAGGAGAATAGTGCATGTCATCCTCACATTTCTCTTGGCTGCCTTGATACAGATGCTTACCATTTTGATAAATGTGCTCTTAAGTCTCACGCATAAGAGTTACCCAACTATTTTTTCTCAAGATTTCCTCACAATTTTGGTGGGGGAGGTTGTATAGAGATATAAGCACACAAGATTCAATCTGACTAAATACAATATTAAAATAAAACAAAAATCTCAGATGACCAGGAACAAACCCAGTGTAAAGTGTTTCTGGTGAAGAACACCTTTCTGGTGGTACAGAAAGAAACACCACTGTCTTCCCATGGAGAAAGACATAGCTTCAGATAAAATTACACTTGTACTAATTCATTCCCTTTAGTTATTTATTGAATTAATTTGGTCATATGAGAAAGAAAACTTCCCTTTTCCATGGAGAATGCTAACAACTTGCAATCTAGCTATTAGCTTGTACATTATAGTTTCCTCAGAATACCCACTGCCACTGAATCAATTCCTACCCATGGTGACATTATAGGATAGGGTAGAATTGTCCCAAAGGGCTTCCAAGACTGTAAATCACTATGGAAGCACACTGACTCATCTTTCTTCCTTGGAACAGCTGGTGGTTTTCAGCCACCAACATTCTGGTTAGCAGCCCAATGCTTTAGCACACCATCAGAGCTGCTTATTCTCAGTATACCAAAACCAGAACCAAACCCACTCCCATTGGGTTGATTTCAACTCATAGTGGCCCTATAGCACAGAGTAGAACTGCCCCCATAGAGTTTCCAAGGCTTTAAATCTTTATGGAAGCAGACTGCCCCATCCTTCTCTTGTGGAGCAGCTGGTGGGTTCAAACCACCGACATTTTGTTAGCAGCCAAATGTTTTAATTACTGTATCATAACTTGCTCAAATATTTCTACAGGAAGAGAGACTGCTTTTAACACCTTCTCTATAAAACACATTCAACTAATATGTACTCCTCATGCCATGAAGTGCCTGGCAAAATGATTTCTAAATTCTTCGAAACTAAGACCATTAGGAAGAACTTTATATGGAGTACCAAATCACATACAAGTGCAATTTTTTAAAATGTTTAAATCGGGTCCAAATACTCTCTGGGTTTGTTTCCAATTACCAGTGGAATTTCCGAGGTGATGGTTACACAACTTTTAAAAAGACATTTTACATTGACAGCAGAGAAATTGTATCACCATTTGCCCAATAACTAATATAAAGATCAAAATAGTTCTACTGAACATGAGACTGCTTGACTTTACCAAAGTCATTGAGCTAGCACTTTCTACATCTGGGGCTCAAGCACAAGCCTTTGAATGACAAGATCAAGTCTTTCCCAATGTCACTTACTGCTTTTGACCTTGGACAATTAACTTGATCTCTTTCCATCTTGCTTAAATCATCTATAAAACTGAGGTTGTTGTTGTTGTTGTTATGTGCC